GGTTGTGGAAGCTGAACAGGGAAAAAATACGACTCGGAAATCGATGCACGTGCATTGGAGTCACTGTATGCGACTGGTTTTGTGCGAAAATAGAAACTTCAAATCGTGTATCACCAGTTTGACAGCAATTACATATTTGTAAATATTATATCCGTAGATTGACGAGTGACGATAAGCGTAGCAAAGCAACAACAGCAAAAAAAAATCGCTTTACGTCAGATAATTACCGCATTTCAAATAATTGCGTATTGCATCCGATTGATCACAAAAGTACGCACAAATGGCGCGCGATAGCACAAGAGCATGCCGATAAAATATCTGAAAAAGACAGTAAAAAGAAGCAATGGCTGCAGCGCAGCAAACACGCAGTGCGCACAGCGACACCAGAACAACATAATAAAACTTGTTAGACACATGTCGATTACATGAGCGGTTTTTCGCTCAGAGCACACATTGGCGACGCACTTTGTTGGCCGATCAACATTGCGAAATGCATTTAGAGCGATCGAGAAATGGTGATCGATCCAATAACGACAATGGACGCACTAATGCCGTAATCGTTGATTATGTGATATGGTGTTTGGTACGCGCTTTCTTTCAGACCTCTGTGCGCCTCGCCATCGCTGATTATGTGAAGAAGCGATACAGCGAGTATGCTGATATTATATGAAGAAAAATATGACGGCAACGCAATCGGCTATGCTACAATTTGTCATAATAGGCAGTGAAAGTTTTTAATTTACTTTGATTTTGTTTCAAGTGTAGCAATGTGTGCATTCATTCGCTTGGCAAAGACCTACACTGATCCATTTCATCATGTAATGAGCGTCAAATGAAAATATTTTTTTTTTGCGAAAAATTGAATCAATGCACTTGAGCTTTGCGCTGTTGAGAGGCAACGACGACGAACGCCACCGATCGATGCAAGTTCAAAGGAAAGCAATGACTTGTGCGTTCGACTGAAGTGTGGCTGTGTGTGCCGGTTGAATAGTGGAAAAATATTTCATGCGCGAATTCTTGTTGCATCGAAGCCTGCTCGTTCCAGATTTCATTCATGCATTTGAAGACCGAGCACAAAATGCATTTTTTTTTCTTCATTTCGTCGCTTCATTTTTTCCGTGCTCATGTCAGGTAAGTGCCTTTTCGATCATTTCTTTTTTCTCTCTGTCTCTCCACAACAGTCGACAACGACAAGCGACGATACCGAGCGCGTGCACAAAGAGTTCGAGGTTTTGTGAACTGCACCATTTTTTTCGCTTCTTTCATCGTCTTCGTCATAGTATCGAATACATATTTTCCGTCGACGCGATGACTGATAAAAGTAGAAGTGTTTGTTTGAGTTGTGAGAAAAAAAAATAGAGTTCATGTCTCAAGTTTATTAACGCAATGGAAATTACACGCGCTCACACTCACTACGCCGCATTCATGGCATTGGAAGAGAAACAAAGATACACTAATAACAATTTTGAAATAGACATTCATTAACGACGATGGTTACAAGAAATTGCAATAATAAAACAAAAGAGTTGCTGCCTATTTGTACAGAATAAAGTTCATTCACATGGTGATGGTGGCGCGAGCGACCGGAGGATTCAATTGAATGAATCGCAGCCAGTGAATGCAAAAGTTCAAATCAATCATATTTAGATGATCGAGATGGAAAATTGATCGCACACACACAAATAATGCCGTTCTGATAGCACTTTATGCACACAACAATTGGTCTATGCGCATTGGTTACAGTCCGAATCGGTGCGATCGGGGCAAAATGAAAATACCCAGTGATTGCTACCTTCTCAATTATGCTTGCAAAAACTCATAGTTTTACACTACAGATGGAGTTAAAAAGGTCACGATTTCGTTTGGATTGGCTTTTGGGCAAAACTGTATGCAATCAAGCGGCAATCTGTGGCTGATCGCAATTATATCGGCACACTCGCAAAAATAAACAGATCAGGAAATCGTTGGCACGTGCTACCTCAAAGCCAAATTCTATTCACGACGACCGTTTTTACGGCATTCGTGCTTTTCCTATTTATGCCGTTGTTTTTTCTCCGCCGCAAACCAATTCATTTCGTTTGATTTCGTTCGAACACCGTTCCGGCTTCACAAATTGGATAGAACTGGAGGTGGTTTAGTTTTGGATTAACCTCTCTTAGTTCAACGGCGACATGTGCTCCAATCAATATTCTTCATTCATTTTGCACATTTCGTCAAATCAAACGATCGCTTTTGTTTCATGTGCTAATGGAGCCGGTTTGCAGTCATCAGTTACATTATGGTTTCGATGTGCGTGCCAGAACCGACGTTATTTATCAGGAAAAGATATGGAAAAACACTCTTTGGTGCGATATACTAATTCAGTCATTGATAACAATAAAGTAACGAATAATGTTTGAATAAAATAGGAATTCTCGATAAGAAAAAAAAACAAATCCCAAAAAACGCGATAATGCAAATTGCCGGCTGATTTACAATCTATTCTTTATTGCTATGAAAAAGCAGCGCAAATTCATTAGCGAGGCGTTGAAATCTTTTGAACTTTCGTGTCGAACGCGCAACGAGAATCTGATTTAAGAATTAATTAGATCGCATAACTCCATAAAATTAACCATATACAAATGATTTCTGGCATTACATATTCATAAAGATCGAATAACGCACCACAGAAGCGTTGGCTGTAAAAAAACATTGGCGAGATCCACGAAAACTTTCGAAACATTCTCCAAATTGACACGATGATTTTGCATTTATTTAATTCGGTAAATGCGAGTAATAAAATCAATTGGGTGATGCGGCAAATGAGAGTCGGTGGGCGGTATAGACGTAATTTACTGTTTTGAATGTACAGGCATTGCATCAATCACACAATCTTACGTATCTTATGGACGAAAAATCTACATCATTTTCTAAACTCGAATTGGATTTCAAACTGAATCGTAAATTAAAGTTGAAAGCTTAAAATCGGCATTACAATCAAGAGTGTATGTACATCGGCTAAGTGGCAGCCGTTAATTTCCTATGAAAATTCCCAAACACTAATTTCATTCGTGCATTCAACAAGTGTTGCGTGCGGCAGAACATCGAAGGGTACAAATGTCTCCAAAAAACGAAGACGAAGAAGAAGCAACGAAATAACGTTCAAAAATATTCGTTAACTGTCTGGAATTATGCAAAAGCTCATCCTGGTCGATTCCAGCGTGTAATCTATCATTATTATGCTCACTACCTGTTGCGCACTCGTTAGAGGGTCGACTCGTTCGGTTCTCATCCCTTTTCAAATAACAACATTCCCATAATGCATTTTATGTGCGAATGAATATATTCAGACGGTAATCACTTATGATGGTGGTTACCTGTCCGGTTCATGTTTATGCATGAAACCTGTTGCAATGTCGTTACTAAACTGTAACCTGTATCTTCTCATACGTAGCGGCGGCGACGGTGGTGGCGAAGGCGTTCTCATGCATTTTCTTCAACGAAATCCGTCTCGTTTATTTACATTTGAGCAAATTACGCATATTTAAAACATAATAATTTCGATGTTTCATCACATGGAATCGGTATGGGAGCAATAAAAGGGGATCTTTCCTCTGTCGGCCAAAACCAAACAAACCGAATAATATGTAATTGATCAACGTTTTACTCATCAACGTATTTTTCTTGTTCGTCGTTAATTTTCCATACTTAGAAACATTGTGCGTTCGCACATAAAAGAGGAGAGAGGAAAAATACAAAAACAATATTTATAACAACAACAAAGTTCTAAATGATGTGGTTATAGAATGTCATGGAAAAGTGAGCACAACGTCTTTGCATGTTCAATACACATCCTTGAGAAAGTGAAAGAGGCGCGCACACACAAGAAATTTAAGCGAAGAGAAAGAAAGAAAGAAAGAGAAAAGCCAAGACAAACAGTCGATCGCAGTCAACCCTCATCAACAATGTGCACTCTACGGCCACTCATAAACGCGTATATTTCGTTGGAAACAACAGAAACGAACGTAAGATCTAGATCTCAATTTAATTTAGAATAGCAAAGAATATCCGTAATATATGTTAATGTATGTGAATATGTGCTGGTTTTCCTGGTTTGTGTTAATAAATTGCGTGTAACATTGCATTTATTGTCTTGGTTAGTCGACAAAATGGGGAAGAAGAAGAAGAAAAAAAACGAAAGAAAAAGACGTTACAAGAATACGAAATTCATAAATAAAAGTTACAATAATAATGCGCATCGGCAATAAAAAGAAGAAGAAATGAAACAAACAAAAAACGAAGGGGGAAATGAATCGAAACAATATATGAAATGGGATGGGATGGGATGGTATGGGATCGCTTGCATTTTACTGTCTTTAAGACGGTTTGGTTCTTGAAGCAGAAGAAAACCTTTTGACATATACACATGCGATAAGAAACGCGTGCATCCGTGAAAGGCGAAGTGTTATTTTCTCAAAACGTCTTATTTTCCCACCGTCATGGGAGACTGGCCAAATTTTCTTCACACTCGTAATGCGCTCTCAACTAGAACACATGCCCATAAAAATAGCTTCGTAAGAAAACTTAGAAGCATTTCTCAAATCGCACACTCAATTCACTCTTCATCTCTTTTTGCTCGACAAATTAAAATTCTGAAAACCTTCTGAGTCTTCTCTCCCTCTCTCGCTCTCTCTATTTTTGCATTTAATTATGTAAGTGCCGGCCAATGATTTATATTTCTATATGCTTAATATGTAGAACAAAATGAGCTTTTCTCATTCAATTACACAATTCTTGAGTTCATGATGATGATGATACGCAACTTCAAGATTACGACTAATTTATTTCGTTGCGATGCTTCTTTTTTGATAACGTTCAATGAAAGGAAACTGAGATTTTTTTTTTGAACAGCGTGTGAAAATGTGTGTGTTGAGGAAATTTTTTTGATTGAATTAATTGTTACGGAAGGGATATGATTTAATGTGCGAATTATGTGTGACTATAGTCGTAATTGTACTTACATCTTCATTTTCAACATATGAATAGATGTTGAGTTTGTCAATGCGTACGGTCCCTTGAAATGGGTAGTACAGTTCACCTTGCTTGATCCTCGTTGAGGACCATACGGATATAGATTGTTCGCCTGAATTACGGGCACCGGCTGCTGTCACAGCCAACGACAACTCTTGTGGTATTAACACACAGGTCTCCATTGTTCTTCTTTTTTTTACAAGCAAATCTTTTCTTTCAAATTAATGTTTTGAATCGATTGACAAATGCACTTATCAAAATTTTAACCAAACAAAAATTACTTCAGTTTCGAACTTCAAATAAAATGACTTGATCACTTGGAAACAACGCTTCTTGCATTTCAGTTCCTTCAGATTACCAATTATCGAATAAAAGATATCGAATCTATCAGCACAAAATACTCGATCAGACTATAAACTTTGCTTGATAAAACACTAAAATCGAGAACACGATCAATTTGAAATGGCGCGGAAGAGATTTCTTCCAAGAAATAATTAAAATTCGTTTACGACAAAAAAACTGATTAAAATACACGACCGAAAAAAAATAATGAACAAAATCGACGAAAACAACACACACTCGGGGTAGGAATGCACAGCGTGCGCAATATTTGTGATTTGTCCCTCTGTGGCTGAAAAGATGATCCAATCCCTCAAATGGTTTTATATAAACTGACCGTTTTGATCAAACCAATATGTAACCATGACCTTCCAGCGTATAAACGTCGAATAGTTGTGTAAAATGTTGCAATCGCAAAGCACACGATACACGATACACACAGCACCAACAGAGAGCGGTAGAACATTGGAGAGAAAAAAAGTTACACAAACACTATCGCATCTTCGTCTCTCATCGAAGTCGGTGCAATTTGATTTAGTTCCATGCGTAATCAACTCACACAAGCACAAACGATCGATTTTTTTAGCCCAATTTGTGTCATTCATTCAAGCTACTCGTTATACCCATACAAGCGAACGCATTGAACTTAAGGCATACAATACAAACGTCTTACGGTGTAAGACATCGATCGTCGAACGCATACATCCACGCAGAAAAGGCGAACGGAGCGCGGTCTTTCTTCTTGGGCCACAAGAAAAGTGTAGCAATTCAACAGGTAGAAGTGATCGATCTCGTTTATTTTTCTTTAATTCTCTCTACCTACTCCTTTCTTGTTTGCTTCTTCCCAAACACACAACAGAGTCTGTCACTTCGGCGTTCACCCATACATCGGACACAATATGCGCTGAAACGATATAGTATTGTCTTTGAAAGACGTTATGCCTTCTGCTGTTTGCTTTCCACTTGCCATAGTGTGCACAGTGAATCACCCATACCTGTTTGTAAACACTGTGAATGCTATGCTCAAGGAAACGTTCGACAGTGTGCGTGTGGCGATGTTGAATGTGTGCAGCACTTGTTTTCATTTCGATCAATAGCAGTCGGTGTGCTCGGCTACTAAACTGTATCAATTTTACGTACAATAAAAAAACAATGCAAATGTTACCTGGGAAACTGCTCCGCCTAGAATTGTCTGTGTATGCACAAACACACACACAAATCGACGAGCGGCAATCGGTGAATGAACAAATTCTACTATTTCGGTTTGTGACTTTTGCCGTCTCGTTTGTTGGTGTAGTATGTTTTGTGGTGATCGTTTCATGCCTTTACCATTCTTCTTGCGCTCTTAGCTCTTCAAGCCCCTAGTGTGCGCTTGAATATCATCTCTATGGCATTACGGCTGCTGCTGCTGCTCTTGATACGAAATTGTGTAACGACCGAATACTCCGCCGTTCAAACAGTAATGATGAGGCACAACATGGTGCGTGGTGTATATTGTATCTGTCTCCGTACAACGTATAGGCTACAGGTGTCTTTTTTTGTTTTCACGCACAATAAAAAAGACGAGCTAATGCACAGAGAGAGATGAATTTGTAACTGAAAATGAACATGGAAAAGGTCGAATATTTTCGCCTTAAAGAAGGAAAACGGTAGAAACAGCACCTTATGTCTGATGATTGTCGTGCCTCGAAATAAAGAATTTTTCTCTCTTTGTTATAATTTTATTTCGTTCGATCAATCGATCGAGAAGTGTTTTTTTCCTGCGTCTTCTTCTTCTTTTCTTGGTTTTTCGGTGTCGAAATCTAAAATAAATAATAAACAACAATAGCGCAAGGTGAATATAGATGAAATACGGAAAGAAAGAAATCGACCGATTGTTGTGTAAGGTGCTCAATTGGTATTGTGCGCATTGGAAATGTTAATTGATGGCCATGCAGAGGATTAGGCAGCAAATTGATCAACAGTCGATATGATGACCGACGGTTGTTGCATTCTACCTTTTGTTCTATTCTCGAGACAGTTTTCACAAAACTGTCAGACGGACGGTGAGTTTGTTTTGTAACGAGTAAGGGTGGAAATGTGTCGACCGAACCAAAAACATATGCCTGCGATTTATCCCGATCATTTGCTCGTTTCGTCTCTTTCTCTTTTATTGCGTTTTATTTTGTGTTTCTTCTTCAACGTTTTTATTTAATTCATTTGAAGTGCATAAAAACTGTTCAACGTATTTTACCAACAAATTATTGCCTTCGATCGATTAGTCGATCGGCAAACGATATAAAAAAGATAGAGATCGATAGTAACAACAGGAATATCAATAGAATGGCACAAAACCGTTCATTTTATTGGAGTTAGTTTGTTTAAGGCGCATCATGTTGCTTTAATAGCATTGTGTTTGAACTAACGGTTCTAAAGGTTGAAGAAGAGAAACGAAGAATTCTCAACAGAAAAATATGTCCTTCAACACATATGGAATTTTACGATCATTCCATATTCATACCGTCAATTTATATATTCTGATCAAAGAGTGTTTTGCTCTTTTTCGTATAAGTTGTGTTTCTTATGGCGTTGAGATAATGGCTCTTGAAAATTGAGAGAATCACTTTTGACCCTATGATTGAATTGCCTTCAGGAGGATCTGCAATTTATATTCGAAGGATTCACAACCTGCTGTTCGTCGGTGTACACATAAAGCACGTTGCTATGATGTTGTGAAAGCCGAACGAATTAATTCAATTTTTATGATTTGGATACCGAAATCATACAAAAACGTAAGATCGTGCTGCATGCAATCAACATTTACAAAAATTATTTATATACAATTTCAAAGTTCTGTTTTATTTTGCTTCCATAACAAAAAAAAGTATATTCAATTGCCTTTAGAGATCTGTTTGGCTACATTTTCAATATGTTTCATTTCGAAATGCATTCTAAACGGACCGACCATATGCTGATTGTTAAAGCAAATGATTGTATAATTCATTGAAAGGGTTACTCTTGCCATTCTTCTCCCGCTCATTCAATTCGAGTGTTCTCTTTTCTTCTGCTCTGTATAATTGCCGCTGAGAAGGAAACACATGACGAGGTGCTTGTTTAGTACTTACGTTTCTATGCCTCAATTAAGTCAGATGTAATGATTTGAAAACACGTTCGGTGTCCATATGCAATGGTGTTCACAATACCATTCAAACAAGAATAATTTAATTTCGTTTGATTTGGATTAACGATTGTGAAACGATTCAGCTAATTGAATCTGCTGCTGTCCCAATGAAAAATATGGAACAAAGAGTCATTTTTCATCGAATTAAACAATCCATCAAGGTATGGCAAATATTTTAGAAAAGATCATAGCTAAAATATTGATTTTTGTCAAAAACAGCCAAATGTATACAGAGAGATACAGCACATAATTACAATAACTACCAATCGCATACATGTGACACACCAGCACTTCACGCTTTCGAGCGGCCAAAGAAGAAACACACACCGAATTGGAATTAAAGCAAAACCGATAAACACACAAATAAGCCACATGCACGGTAAGATACAATTGACGACGCTTCGCCCAAAGATCACACACATGACGATGTGTATGTGATGTGTGTATGTGGAATTGGGAGTTTACCTTGCATCATTTCCTACCATTCGTTTCGGCCAATGAGAGTCAACGGCTGGACGCCGTAAAAACAATAACAACCGACGACAACGCTAATCCAATCCAATGAAGACTGTACTTGTATCTTTATTCTCTTTGCGCTACTTGATTTGTTCTCTTCGGTTCTTCTTCTGCTTCTGATTCTTCTTGTCCATTTATTTGTTTGCACTTTGTACTTGAATTGGATCGTTGTCGCAAGTAAACCGAGCACATAATGAAGCATGAAATGAGCGAATAATTCTTGAAATTGTGCAACATTTTCATGATTGAACGTGATTTTTCAATGAGATTTATGGTTTCGAACGAAATTGTATACCAACTTTCACTGAATGGAAAAGTGAAAGAAAAACTGAAAATAATGAAAGGAGAAGAAAAAGAACATGAAAAAAATGTCAGAAAGAATTTCCATTGATTGAAATAAATTTATTAGTTTATTAGTAGGATTATTTCACAAATCACATTCCTTACGAAAATAAGGATCAGTTACAAAGCAATTGATTAAAAAGCAATAATTTTTCAGCATACTGATTTCAATTCAAGTCAATATTTTCTAAATGTGAACGAAGTTGCATATATACTAAGTTATTGAATGCTTGAATCGACCTGAATATGCTCATTTGAGTGAAGAGAAAATCGTAAACTATTTCGAATCTCCGATAATTGATTCAAGTTGCTGTTAATTGCTTTTCATGGTAATTAAATGAGCAATGCCGAGACAATCGTTTGATTTCAAAGCACTTATTCATGATCAATGGACTGTTGATTTCCCTAGGTGCATTTGAAGTGTTTCAGTTTCAAGTGGAGGACGCCTATAAATTCTAAAATCGTATTTTAAATCCAAAAATCATCCGGTGATTTAATTATTCGTTGAGCTCCGATTGAAATCTGCTCCGAATCGGCTTCAATGCTATCACTTTCTGATGATATTGTTGTGAATTTGGTCAATTTATTCGTAAAGCCATTCATAGCTAATCCTTTGGTTGGTTCAAAACCATTTGCCGCAGCTGCGTCTACCGATGCTTCAGAGACATTGATTTTCAACTGATTCATTTTGCTGAATTCATCAAATTTCGAAGGAATACTCAAGCTTTCCATTTCCTTTTCGTTATTTGTGTGGGTAGTTTTTCCATTTTGTATGTGCATTCCATTATTCAAAGTAACAGGGGAGACAACACGCTCAGGAGACTTCACAGCAACTTGCTTCACACCGTTTTCTTTGGGTTCAACTTCCTCTGTTTTAGCACTTGGATTTGGTACAGATGATTCGGCTGTTTTTTCTGGTTTACTATTTCCATTCGAAATAATATTTTTGGAATGCTTTTTTGTTGTCAAGCTCGGAACAACGTCAATTGAATTGGAAACGGTTGCAGTGGTGACAGTAAATGTTGACACAGGTGGAAAAATGGATGTTGGTGCATTAGATTTTTCACGTTCCTTATCAATTCCCCTCTCCATTTTCTTCTCCTTTGGTCCTTCTTTTCTTTTTTCTGTTTCTTTGTATTTTACTTCGTCACTTTTCGGTGAAATATCACTCTTGTTCTGTGGAAATATGCCAGTTTGTGGCTCGTATAATTTAACTTTTGCATGAGCATTGAACAATTTTTTGTTGTATTCTAACGATGGTCGATTGTTTGTGTTAATTATGTTACCATGCAGTTTCAGGGGTAGCAGATTTTCTTTTGAAAATGCTTCGTTTTTGTCGAACGTAGGGCTCTTGAGTCGTTTTATTTCATTCAAATCCTTCAACACTGCTTCGATATCTACATCATCGTGGAATGTTGAATTCACAACTTTATCCATTTTGATGGAATCGACCAAATTTGAGTGGTAAACGGTAAGTTTGTCATCGATTTTGTCGCATTGTGCGAGTACAGATTTGCTCAAACTGTAATTTTCCCATATTTTTGAAGCATCCTCGTTCATTTGTTGTTTCATAATTTGTTGACGCCGAAGGTAGGCTTGAAATGATTGATCCAAATCTTCGCTTTCTCGTTCCAGTTGCTGCAGACGCATCCTGTATAGGAATATAAAACAGAAAATGTAAAAAAGTTACAATTTGAGTTGGAAAAAAATAAATTCGATTACTAACTTGGCCGATTGAACGATTTGGTCGACTTGTTGTTCTTTCTCCAGTGCTCGTGCAGCTAATGATTCAGCCAGTAGTTTTTCGGTACTATCGGGTGTAAACTTGTCAATTGGACTGGAATCTTCCTTTTCAGGTCGTTCAACTGACTCATGTTCACTTTTGTTTGCATCATATTTTTGTTTATAGTGCAAACGGATCAGCATGCGATAATTGTTGGTTTTTTCTTCATAAAGTTTTTCCAAAATTTCGCGTTCTTTTTCCATCGTCTTTTGAAGTGACACTTCCAGGCGATCAATAAACTTCCGGCCATTTTCCGAAGTTTTTAGTTCTTTTAGCCATGTGCTGTACTCCATATTACTGAAACGATCCACTTTGTTGTCCACATTTTTCTTTTCAATTGATTCGGATGCTTTCGATTGAATATTGGCGACATTGCGTAAATCTTCCAATTTTCCATTGCATTTTTCAACGGCAGTCGATAGACGTTCGATGCTATTAAGAACGCACTGGAGTCTCTTGCTCTTGTGCTCAGATTTGGTCAATTTATTTATATTTTCAATGATTTTGCGGAGATCTCTTTTAAGGCTCTCCCCTTGACTTGACGAGCCCACTGTTTGCTTTTGTGTTTTTCGATCGGAACGTTTTTCGGCGAGTGATTTCGACATATCGTTGATACGATCGGATAAAAAGTCCAAGTATCGATTCAAATATTTAAAATATCGCGAACTAATGTGCAAATGTTCGTATTTATGTCGAAATGACTCGCGGCTCGTGTTCTTCCGATTGGACGGGGAATTTGGCTCTAAACTTTGCTGCGATGAAGTCGATTGAATGGGTACGCTGGATTTACTTGGTTTCACTTTTGCTGCCATTGTCTTATTTCTACTTCTGATTTTTTCATCTATTTTTTCACCCCGTTCGCTATCGATTTGTAGAATGAGGCTTTTCATTATACAATAAAGTAATGATTTATTCGAAATTTCCTGACTGCCGGCCCGATTTATGTAGAATTCGCGAACAATTTGCTCATTTTGCTTGGAAAATCCAATGGCTTCGAAAATATCATTCAATTCCAGTTGTGAAAATTGAAATAATTGCCCTGTTTGCGTCGCTTCAAAGTTGGGCAATGTGTTTTTGTATGGCACTTCATTTGCAAACACTGACAATGTAAAATGACAATCTTCTGTGTACAAAAACTCGGCTACTAATGTATTCAAAACCAATATTAACGGTGATAACACCATTCGATGCGCCGCCTGATGTTGTTCGGTCATTTGCCGGCCGAGTTTGGTGCGATTGAACTGTTCAAACAAATCGGCTCGTAGCTTTGATTGTAATTTACGCGATAGTCCACGTTCATCGATCCATGCCGAAATTTGCTTCTTAAATTCGTCTTCTGAAATATCTATTATCTCATTCAAATTGATTTTTTCATTAACTTCAGCTTTACTCATTTTTATTTTCACAATAAAACAACTAAAATTCACAAAACTTCGATGTAACCCCACTGGTCACTTTGATGTAACGAAAGGGAAGTGTGCACTCGACCGCAACTTTAATGGAACTAAACTGTATTCAACGGTTTGTTTACAGTTTCGAACGCGACACATCTGTTGCCATGGTTTCTTAACGTCAATGTCGTACATGCCAATTTAGTACGTATTTCTAAATGTCATGCAGTAATTTTAAAAATGTTTGTACTAAAGAGAAGTCGACGGTTAAATGATACATTGACTTATTTAGCTGGTAAAACAGCTGCCAGTAAACCTACGTTTTAATTGATGTCAAAGATCCACTTGGATACTTATTACACCGTGTTTTAATGACTAAAAATTTGTGAAAATGCGCCTAAAAATATACTAAAGCATGCATTGAAAGTCTGTTGATTATTGTTATTACTTCTGGGGGAAAGTGAATTTCAATAGAATATGAAACTCAGAGTATCTATTCTCTTTGAAACACAAGACGAGAAAAGCAGAAAATAGCACTGATAGAGTTTACCTCAAGGCTAATTTTATATTCTGACCAAACACCGTAGGTTATTAATGGTCTACCATCCATATATGATTATTGATGTTGTTATTATGTTAATCGAATGTGATCACATGCAAAATCTTTGGTGGAATTGTTATTTTGATTCTTTGTATGTGTTTGACAAAAATATACAAAAACAATTTACAAATTTGTAACACCTTTAACGCCCGAAATCCGTTATGTTCTTGTTGAGAGATGTTTTTGCTGCTACTGTTACTAATTGTCATAGAAATTTGAACCATCTATATATATAAAACTGAATGTTCGTCTCTCTCTCTCTCTCTCTCTGTGTGTGTGTGTGTATGTATGTCGCGACTTATCTCTCCTTTTTTTAAATCATGTCTTTATTGTTATGCTTTCCGTTTGATTTCGCGTGACCTCAAGAAGGAACGAATGCAGTTTTCGTTTTCGAATTAAATTTTTTGGAGTTTGACGAAATTTTTTTTTCATGTTCATCATTACTATGTGTATGTATAGTATACACATGATGATGCGGATAGCCATGCATAATTTAATCCTACAGACCAAGTAATAATGGTAATTAAAGCGCTGAGTGCACCGTACATAAATAATAATAATGAAATCAAAAATTTGTTTTTGATTGCAAGACGAATTATCAGAGTATGTATTTCGATTGAATTGAATCGCACAACGGAGTTAATTTCTCTATTTGGATAGAAGCAAAATAATCCTAATGAATGATTGCACCGGAAACACTTGGCGATGCTGCGATTTTCTTGGTACATATTAACTTTTTTGGCGTCGACAACAATATAATTACGATCAAATAACACTGTACTTGCTATAATATCGGAATTTCTGAAGAGAAAATGGCCACAATACAAAAATAATCAAAATATTCCACGGTTGCCATTTTAAAAACGCAAGATAATACGTATTGTGAACAATAAATAAATGTCCAAATTTTTTTTAAACTAAATTTTGACAAGTTTACTCTCATAGCCAACTTAACAGAATCATTATTTGCAAACAAGTTAGTAATTTAATAAGTTTAGCTGAAATTAAACAAAGAGTACAAAATATTTTACTGAAATTGCAGAAGCAAATTTGCTTTATGCATTTATGCATTTTCTGATTTATTATTGCCAACAAAAAAGTGAATTGACATTATTGAAAAGTGAATTGAATATTGCAAGTTCTTTGGATTATTAGTATTTTAGGTTTCAACGAACTTGGTCCAATATCTTCGCTCAGATCTTTTATTGGCGACAATTACAATTAGCGTGTTCTTGTTGCAAGCATATAGGTTAGAATACTGTGAATATCAACGCATATGCCTAAGATCAATGAACCCTCATGATTATCTCTCCGCTCATCAGGCCTGTGAGATAAGAAATATGAATACATTAGAATATGGATTTCATAAAACGGTGCATTGTTCTTACAATCCTGCATCAATAACTTTTAATTTTGCGGCCAAACTTTCCAAAGCAGTTCTATCACTGTAAAATAAGACGAATATGTAAATTTCGCATGATAAAATATGCAATTTGCTTCGTGAGTTTACGATTTTTCATATTTATATGTTCCGCTTTTTTGAGCGGCTTCAAATTTGCTGCCGATTTCATTAACCTCTTTCACGATTTCATTAATCTGTTTCATTTCATCGCTATCCTCAGCGAGTGTCAAATCTTCGATGTTTGTAAAGTTCGTCGTGACACAGCAACTAAGCAAAGAAAATGTTGTCAGTTGTGTAAGATATCAGATGTTTGTTTTTGCATACTTTAAGCGCCATAGTTTTTCGGTGTCCACAAAGAGTTGCGGCAGTTGCCACTTTTTGATTTCAACATCAGGGATATTTACTCGACCACTTACTTTCCCATACTTGACCAGTTCATTTTCACGCGTTTCAGTTTGAGCGGATACATAAACCTGTTACAGAAAACGAACAAAAAAAAATACAAATTTCAAAAAAAGGAATTTAAGAAAAACAACGATTTTGTTCTGAAAATGAATAACGTTGCACCATTATCGCAGCCAAAATAGCCAAAATAATAGTTCGTGCCATTGCGAATTTCTCAACAAACAATCGAATAATTCGAATTAAATTGCCACCGTGTTTTATTAGCAATACTTTTGCTATTAAACAGCGAATGAAAACCTTAAAATAAGATGTCTATTTATACCAGCTTCTTTCAAAATTTCGCTTCATTTCTGCAATATATATGCTAATTGTATGTCCATAGAGAACGAAATTAAAACCAATAAAAAATTGGTAGAAAACTAATTTCCTTTCGTTTATTGGAAACTCATGCAATTGAAGCCTTGCATTTCTTCATATCGTCATTCGAAGAACCAATATAATTATAGCTGAAGTGCGTTTCGTGTGAGTTTTTATTGGTGTTTTAAAATGAAATTAGAAAAAGTTAATTACTTCGAAACTGTGTTGAACATTATTTATTGGAAATGGTTGAATTTGGAAACTTGTCAAAGAGGTTATTGCGTTGTTGAAACTTACGTCATCTTTTTCTTTCGTCATTGGATTCGGAATGATCATAGTTCGTGGATATATTTATTTATTTCACGTTGTCAAAATTCGTGTTGGCTAAAACTCATCTGCCGTGTTCGTTGCTAGCTCTAGTGGAATATAAAAAAAATACAGTTGAATAATGCATTACTTGACTATTGGCGACAGTCAAGCAGCGACGGTGAAAATGAAACAATTTCTTTTTGAGACACTTTTCCGTTCGTGTGCCGTCGTTGTCGTAGCTCTGTGTTGACACGACATCACAAAAAATAATCGAGATAATCGAAATCTGAAAGTCCCAAAAGTTTTGTATCCGAAAAACTTAGTTTATTTCGTAGATGAGCCATTTTCGATTTGACCTTGGGGTACTTGCCCTAAAAAATCCTCCAAAAATTGACATTCTTGTATGGGAGATACCCGTAAATCGATTGCGATTGGCTTCAAACTTTCTGGAATTTCTTTTTTTTGAAAAAAATATGATTCTGAAAGTTTCATGCTAATCGCATATGCGATATTTGTACAAGCTTGGTTTTTGGTCCTTTATATATTGCCTTTATTAACAAAATAGTCGAATAAAAAGCGAAGTTTTTATTTGGTTTGTTGGGCTATCGGCCGTTCATTTCGATTTTCACTGTTGCTCCGACGTTTCGGACGCGTATTTGCGTTCCACCTTCAGGGACTGTGAAACAAATACAATTCAATGTACGATTATTAGAAAACATTTCATCTCTCTTTTGGTTTTCATCGGCAAAAATATTGCCTTCATTTCAAGAAAATTGAAAAAAAAGTACGGACAACAGTACGGAAAAGTATAGGAACACGAATTTAATTCTTTTTATTTTCAAATTTAATGTATTTTTTATTTTGCATATATGCAATATGGTGGTTAAGGAGAAGAAGTACCAGAAATAATTCGCAATGCTATAATAGCATGTATACAAATTGAAATCAATTCTCTTGGATATTCCTATTTCTTCTAATTGCATGCAAAATATTGTGATTTCATGTTTGTATAGAACCTTGATTGCATTTCAACTTTGTGTCAGTGTATGTATTGTATTGTATTGTTATATTTATTAGCATCGGCTCTTTTAGTTACATGTATATGTATATATACTCGTGACGCAAAACCTGGCATTTTTGACATTTGGCTTGAAATGCACAGTTGTTGGAGCATCACTTGTCGGACTATCGTCCTTCGTGATGTTTGCCTAGTACTTAAATTCAAATAAATTAATAATATTCACCAATTTGAACAAACATACTCGCTTTTTCCAACAACCAAACTCGGAAAAACATACTCCTGTTTATTGGTATTCCTAACAAAATACATACTCTTGTTTAACGCAAATTAAGGTTCATGAAACATACTCGCCTTTATCATAGCCACAAACAGTATCAGAGTCATTAGTTTAGTCAAAATACACTAGGGTCGCCAAGTGGCCGATGAATCAGCCAATAATAAACACTTCTTTCTTTTTAAATTGATGGAATGGTTGAAAATTTGAATGGCACGTGTTATTGATTCCGTGAGTGAATTTTTTGTTTTGAAAATAGCAGATTTTCATTGTATTATTTTTTCTCTGAGTTTGTTATTCAATTTGTGAGAAATTAATAAAGTTGGTTTTAAAAAATTTAGACAAAAATTCCTAATTCACATATATGCAGGCCCGCTTCGCGCGCGGGTCGCTCTCGTTCCGGTTCTGCACGCATTTCCACATTCACAAAGCATTATCTGCATGTATATGACTTGGGAATTTTTAAAATTATCTAAATTTTTTAAAACAACCCATAATAATTTCTCACAAATTGATTAACACACTCAAAAAAAAATAATACAATGAAAATTGACTATTTTCAAAACAAAAAATTCGAAAAACTTTGGGAAACCCGGGAAGAAGGTGTTCTCTAACATGCTTCAAACTCATGTCAAACTTGACATATGTGAATTCTGAATGGGATTCTGCCAATGGGTAGCATTACACTAACAATAACATCATTTGCAAAATGAAATTCGTTCAAATCGTGATTACAGCCGTGAACACGTTCATTTTGCAAACGCAGTTGTTCAATTCACGAAAAACCAAATATTTATTTTCTAATACGGGCTTAGAAAGACAATTTTGCTGTCTTGCGTGCCATCGGCACATTTGTACAATTTTATTTAGCAGAAACGAAACATTTCTCTATTTCAAAAATCAAATATTGTTGTTTCATCACACAATACGACAATGTTTGACACTTTCTTGAATACACTCATCAATACAGTTCCAATGCGTTGCCGTCAAAATGTGTGGCGTTGTTGGTTTGACGTTTAATAATCGACACTATCCCGGTGCATTCTGCACATCTACTGTTCACGACCTTTCAAATGGTACCAGTGGCATCAAAATCAGTTGGGTATAAAATGGTTAAAATGGTACCAAAACTTGCGTTTAATAATAAAAAATTAGTTTGACTCTAGAAGAACAACAAATCAAAGGAGGAGGCCCGTTAATTTCTCTTGGAAATAGTAAATTTACTGGTGTTTCTGATGAATTATGTGCAAAGCAAGAAGGGCAAGGAGATGCAATGTGTCATTTACACATAGAAAAGAGAATTATTAGACCCTGCGGATTCCATTGGTGAAACGTCAAACTACCAATAGACTGTTTCAAATGTATTGGTAAATTCAGTACAAACGGCACAACGCAAGTCGCAAGTCACTTACGTAGTATTAGTAAACGAAATTCCGCATTTGTACTGAAATTACCAATACATTTGAAACAGTCTATTCGTAGTTTGATGTTTCACCAATAGAATTTGCAGGGTCTACTGATTCTCTTTTCTATGTGTACATCATGTTCGATTTCCTGATCGTTGGGAATTAAATATGGGGCAATTTCAAGTGCTACTCGATGATGATGACGAAGACGACGACAACGGCGACGGTGACGATGACACCGAAGCCGGCAAAGAATTACAATATGATTTATCTGATTTAACTCTAGGTATGTTTGGAAACGAAGACGATGTCGACCAAAGCGGATTCGTTAATGTGGACGCGATTGAAGGTCCATTTGAATTGTCAGCAAATAATCGGAATGATCATCAATCGTATTTCAACGCGAATATCAGTGCAAATGCAATGCCAAACCTAGGACTCTTAAATATTATTGAAAGTGAAAATTCAGTGCCGGTTGAGGACGCCAATAACAATTTGTTGGACTTGCTGTTTGTGAAGAACAAAACGCCAGACGAATTGTTATTACTAGGATCGCCCAGTGGTCGAAAATGTATAGAAGTAAAGTAATAAGTAATATATTACTATTTCCTATTACTATTACAGGCTATTACATTAATAGGCTATTACATTATCCTTTTACTTTTCCTATTACTTTTGTGACAGGGTGAACCTATTACTATTACTATTACTATTACTTTTGTAATAGGATGAACCTATTACTATTACTTTTCCTATTACATGTAATAGTAATAGTAATAGGTAATATTTTTTACAAAAGTAATAGGAAAGTAATAGTAATAGGTGATCCTATTACAAAAGTAATAGTAATAGTAATAGGTAATAGGCATTACAATTTTTTACTTCTATACGAAAATGCGACCAAGTACAGATGGACATTGTTTCTTGATAAAAACGAAATTAAGTTATTTTGAAATAAAGAAAATAATCTTTATTATATCTATTTTATGTTTGAATTTTTTATTGAAAACAAATTTATTTATGGCGTAGGAGCAAAATCGAATTCTACTAAATTATCGTGACAAACACATGGATCTGCCCAACATGTTGGACATCCGCATATGCACGGGTCGACGCCACATGCTGGACATACACATGTTTTGGTATGTTCATGTGCTTGTACGATATTCACGAAAGCAGTTCCAAATTCGAATACATATATGATTTCCGTATGTACTTGATAGAAATGCCGAATGATATCTGCATAAGACATATCTCGTAAATCACATGGGCAGAGTTTCGATCGCTCCTGAGTAAAACTTGAAAATGTCTCCACCAGTCGTCATGATCCCCACCGTAAAAAAACACCAATCGAATTTGCACGCCAATTGAGGTTTAATTTTATGTGTCCGCACTGCAATAATCCCTTGAAAATAAAACAATTACTTTTATTTCCAAAGCAAAAAAATTTATTATAAAATATTGGTGGAATCGATTTCTGTTGAATGATCTGAATTCTTTGACTTCCTTTAAACTTATATATGTAATTTTTATATTAAAAACAATTTGGTTTTATGACAAATTTTGATTTTTGTTTTTGGTTATGATTCATTGATTTAATTTTTCATCGACAATTGAATCAACTTCGATGCTATTTTCATCCAGAAGATAATTTATTTTTATAATAAAAATGAAATTTGTTTATCAAATGAAAAATTGGTCGATTCATTCGTCAAAAATTATACTAAAACTAATAAAAAAATGAAATTTAATTGAACACCAAAATGGTGAAATAGTACAAATATTGCACAATCAAATTTGCACATGAAATCCGAATTACAATTGTTTGAGGCGGCAAAGACTTGTGCCATTTTGATAAAGCTGTCCAACAATAACTTTGTCGCCGTTCGGATCATGCTTCGCAA